CAGTTTCTTTCAGTTACCTACACTACACGTCTATGCATAATTGCACATACAGCACTAAGAACCTTGTGTTGTATCCCAGCTACAAGAAGTCATTTAAATCAAAAAATAGCATAGCATATTATTTAGCGCAAGCGGAGGGGATCATACAGAAAGAGTGTTTCCATAGATCTTGTCCGTGATAGACTCAGGTGCTGGTTGGCCACTGCTGTAATTGAACTGAAAAAAGAAAATGATAATCAGAAACGCTAAGTTCTTGGAGTAGCCTATTTAGAGAGGTTGAATATCAGAAATCAGTCATATCCAGGAAATTCTATGTGGAACCATTTTTTTTTTTTTTAAAAAAGATAACGAACTTCTACTGTATATTTTAGCAGCCAATGGGACAGCTAAGAACAATTTCCAGTACATGATTTGCTGAGTAGAAATTTACCTTGATACCCCAATCATACTCAGGACCACCAGGGTTATGGCTCGCACTCATTATAAATCCACCATTTGCCTGTGGATTAGCTTTAAGTGTCATTCAAAAATAGCAAAGAGAAAGCAAATAAGATAATTAAAACAGAATTGTCACCTCTCTCTTCCGTATAACAGCAGAAACAGCTGGTGTGGACAATATACCATCCCTGCCAAACAGAGATTCTTCATATATACATATCAACTATTTTCTTTTCACTTTTTGGATAAGAACACAAAAATAAGCAGAGAAATACGCCGGAACAAGGGAACCCGGAAAAAGAAATGAAACAATCTAGCTATATACAAACACTTAAATAAAAAGTAGAAGGATACGGGCTCTTAGAACAAATAAGGATGGATTGCAACAAAAGATGGCTCATGGAGACTATAATCTAGACAAGGCAATTCAAAGTTATATCGCACATAAAGATTGAGTAAGAGGATTTCCATCTTCACAAAAACATAGAGAACTGATTAAAACAGATTAAAGTGGCAGGATTAAGTTTCACAGTACAAAAAGTAACAAAATTAGTGCTAAAAAACTCACTGTAGTTAAAAAGTTCCTCTTTTTGAAAGTTTAAGCTTAATTCAAGCAATAATATCACTAGGATGTGAAATTTGAAGAATTCATTCATGCTATGATGAACATGTAGACTGCTAAAAGTGTAATTTAGGGCACTCACTTGCCGACCAATATTTTACCAACACCATTACCCGCAGCAATTTTAATGATTATCTGCATTGTAGCTTAAGATGCATTAGGGATCAAAAAACAACAAATAGTTCTTCAGGTATCAGGATACACATGAAACACAGAGATTATGTACAAAACCACTACCTGTGAAGCTTCTTTATTGAAATATCGACCATCACCTCCTAAGACTAACAGTCCATTCTTAAAATCCTCTGGTGGCAAAGAATTAAACAATGCCTGTATTGAAACATTGTAAAACAATTACACAGAGTTGAGTACACTGGAATTCAGTATCACTACAAGTTCAGAGAGAACCATACCTGTATCCAATTTGCAAGGTAATTTTCCTGCATAAACACTTTAACCTAAACAAAAAAAGAAGCAAAAGCAATTAGAATGAATCGTATGCATTAAATTATTTGAATAAACAGAAAAGAAAAAGAAAAAAAACACCTTTTTGCGTAGACCACTAGTTCCGGTCTTTTGACCTTCAATAGGCTTTGTAGGAACAGATTTAATCTGCGATTCAAGCAAATCAAATAGTAAAGCTACAATTTTCCATTAGATACATAAAATCAACACATTATATATAGAAATTTCGAACAAATTAGATACCTCGATACCCTGGGATTCGGCAACTGTTGTAGAAGGAGATGATGGTGAAGAGGAGGCAGTGACAATGAAACGAGCAGGTGAAATTGTCGCAAAAGAATATTTGAGGGATGACAATTTGGGAAAAATGAGTGTTGAGTTGAAAAGTGAATAGGATTTAAGGTGATGAGAGCAACTCCCACTAAGTAATGGACTGGAAAATCGTGTCACTGTAATTGCACTCTCCATAGTTGCAGAGTTTGAGAAAAAGCAGTGCAAAGAGAGCGAAGCAGGACTATTGTTGGAGTGCGTTTCATAGGAATTGATAGCTGCCACAGATTGCTTTATCGGCACAACAACTTATGGTTCATGTCACCCGTTTCACGTGAACTACCTCTTTTTCTGTCCTGATTATTGGGACCTTTTTAGGCTAATTGTCAAATATTAGCCGAGAAATATTTATAATATTATTAGAAAATAATTAGCTGATGAGTTTTTTTAATGAATATTTATATTTTTAACCTTAACTTGAGCAAAAAAAATTCCAACTTCAACCAAATATTCAAACGCCTACATATTCATTAGCTTTTCAAATATTAAAGTTTAATATTTTTATAAATAATGTGACTTTGAAATATTAAAAAACTTGTTTGAGAAGTATTTCGCGTGAAATGATGATTTTTTTCGTCCAAACACAAGTGTGTGTTAAATTATAATTTTGTATCTAATTTTAATAAACTATTGTCCTATCGCTTATTCTACAAATCAATTGAGCTAGACGTTGCAAATCTTTTTCTATTTAAAGTGGGACAAGAGCTATTTCTAATAGACGGACCATATTTCTCAAGGGAACGTTCCAAATTTTTGAAAATGTTCAACTAATGAATGATGATATTACTAGGGTAAATGCTTACTCGTACTCAGTGGCTATATCAACTCAATAGATGCGCGTGTGTTTGAATATAATTTATATATATACTACTCGCTCTGTTCTAATTTATGTGAACCTATTTCCTTTTTGGTTCATTCCAAAAAGAATGAACCCTTTCTAAATTTGGTAACAATTTAGCTTAAAGTTACAACTCTACCTTTAATGAGAAGCTTTTATAACCACACAAATACTCTGGACCCCATTTGAACTTGTTTAGGACCACAAATTCCAAAAGTCTTCATTTTTTTCTTACTCCGTGCCCAGTCAAACAGGTTCACATAAATTAGAACGGAGGGAGTAGTATCTATGAACGTGCGTTGTACGTTAGTAATGGTACGTGATGATTTAAATATTTATTTATATGAAGGAACAATAAAATTTAATTAATGAGAGAAATTTTATGTTAAATAATACAACAATCATCTAAATGCCAAAAAATATTATTACATTAACATTATACATAAATTTAAAATAAAAGAACATCATCAAAACTTACACAAATAATCAATTTTGTCATGTTAGTTAGATAATTATGTATTATAGTTTAATAGTATTTAATGTAATGATATCTTAACGAACACTTCTTTGTGGATAATTTTTTTTGTATATGTTTCCTCCAAATGTTTTGGTTGCTCTGCCTTAACCAGAACTCTTGTTGTCGATTTGGATATCCCTCTTGAAAGTACAACATACAATTGTTCGTACAAGAAAATATATTGCGGTAAATATAGCTCCATATTTAGGATGTTTGTCATTGTGCTTTATTTATTATATTTGCAAAACATAAACATACTAAAAATTATTTTCACACAAATTTAAAAGAATATTCCTTAAATTTGTGAGGGTTATTTAAGTTATTTGAAAAGGTATATCAAATCTAAAGTATGTGGCCTCACAATAAAATTATTGTTGGTATACCACTTGCTATTATTGCTAATAGTGTCATGCCTCTTAATATGATATTTGCAAGTAATGCATGACATAAAAATATTATTTCGATTCAATCGGAGGCATCTACAAAGAATAATCATGTTATACCAGAGTCGACTCTTTATAATATAGTCTTGAAAGCTTGTTTCTTATTAGGATTTAGCTTTGATTGTGCTTCCTCAGACACTTGTATAGCATTTTGATTCTTAATAATATACTATCTTTTTTACTTTGTGTTCTAACGCTCTTTTTATGGAATACATTTATGTATTCTAAGATTTTTTTAAAAAAACTTGAATAAAAATTTTACTCATATGATGAATTTAAAATAATTGAATTGGATTCTCTTGCTAAATAATTATTTTAAAATTTTAATTATTTGGTTTTAACATAAAAAATAATTTATTTTATGTTGTTTCAGATATTAATATTAGTTCATCTCTTGTTTTAAATAGTTAATCTTAATTATAATTTTATCCACCATAAATTTATTTTCAATGAGTAAAAGATTAATATGACATTTCACTTTTAGATCGTTATATTTGTAGAATTATTAGTGGTATTGACTCTTACCAACTATTTTTTTCTCTTTATCACACATTTATATTCTTAAATATTTTCTTAGTTGTTGTTTAATAATTGAGTATTTTTCAATATTACATGAAAAATTGATAAAAAAATATTATTTGAGTAGGAAAATATTTTAAATATAAAATAAAAATATATTAACGTGGGGTATCTTTTTCTCTGTATGCGGTGAAATTAGAGGATTTAATTCCTCGCTATCAAGCCACTTCGGAAGAATGCCTCGAGACCTCGAGGACGTGGAGCCACGACCGAGTCCCCTCCCTCGGGGATCGTTGAGGCCCGACTCGAAGAAGATGGAGGTCGAGGCTAGAGCAGAAGGGGAAGCTCCAAAGGCACACTGCTAAATCTGACAGAGCCAGCCTATCTAGAGCCTATGTTGAAGCGTCGCATCTCGTCGTTGTAGACATGTGATTTTTGACCCTCCCCAAGATTTTTCATATTTTAGTACGTAAATATTTAATTTAGGCATAATATAGCTATTTCAACTCATTTTTACTCTTTTACTTTATTTTATTACAAGAAAACAAAAATTACAAAAAATAGTTTCATTAATGTTTTGTAGTCATTTTTAATCTTGAAAAATACCAAAAATAGTTTTGTTTTAACAGTCAGTCTTATTTTAATAATTATCTTACTTAAGTAGGACTTTGATAAATGAGGTCGTATTTTAATCTCGTTCGCGGGGAAAGAATAAAACTTGGGCTCGAGCAACCCATTTTTAGGCCTAATTTTGGACCTTGCCCATAATTCTCAAGCCCATACTTCCTAGGCTCATACCCCTAACCTAATCTCTACCCCTATATAATAGTATCTAACACCTAAAATAGGGGAGACCCTAAAAATTAGATCCGCCGTTTTGTCTTCTTCCAAAATCAAAGAAGACCAAGAAAATGACGCCTAAAATCGTTCTTCTTCATCGAGTGAATCAAGGAAAAAGCTGAAGGCGTCGTTTTTGTTGACCTTGAGATCCGCCATTTTCTAAAGAGATAAAAAAAAAAGCAAAAAAAGATACAAACACAAAAAGAGCTGAAATACAAAAAAGAACGCTAAGGAAAAAGCTAAAAAGGCCAAAAAGCCTAGGGACCTAAGGCAAGAAATTAGCCTAGAGCCCTAGAGGTACAAGAAAAGTTCTGCCGAAATTCTCAATACAAGACCACCCCATCGGTTGTCTTTTCTTCTTAAAAAAACATGAAGAAAGCTTCAGAAGTTTCTGAGTTTCAGCGCCATTGACAACAAAAAACGATCTCACCGTTCTGCTTTCCCTCCATTCCAAAACGAGAGCAACAACAGTGAGGAGGAGTTTCTGCTTTTCTGCTCGTTCTTTGGTTGTCGTCGAAAAACAACGGCGTTTCAGTTGAGTTTGAGTTCCGTTAAAGCCCGTTCGCAGGTCGCTAGCTCCGAGTTGGTTTGTTTCTGTCCGTTTTCGAGTTTGCCGGCAAGTTTCGATACTCCGTCTGAGGGCTAGTCCATGGTCTTGTCTATTTCTGCTTGTCAAAATTATTGATTAATCATGATTCAGATTCAATTTCAAGGTTCATTCTCTATCCTTTCCTTGTTCTTTATTTCAGGAAAATACTTTTTTTTAGCTGGAATAATATTTGAATTTTGATTAAGCATAAGATGTTCTGCTTTTGACATCTTTTATTTATAATTAGATTCCATGTTTTGTGATTTCTTTAGATTATATTTGTTCATATAACGATGATGAATGACGTCGTAATTTTTCTTTTGTCTACATTTTTTATTTTATCCCTCATGGCTACAATTCACTTTGGTCAGATTTGTTAGTATTAATTGCCTATAAGAATTTGAAATGGACCGTTATCTGTTGAGTCAAGTCCTTGGACAATTAGTTTATTGGGCTAAAAGGAGTAATTTTGTTTCGTGAGTAAGTTAAGATGTATTTGATGCTATAAGGCCAAAAGAATAAGGACGTCACCTATCCACATTCATGCATATGTTGGCCCAATTTTGCTCAAACACATGTAGTTAGCCCACCATTTCATGACCGATTAATCTATTTCATGCTTCTTTATAATGATTCCATAACTCTTGGCCTTGAAATAATCTCAAGTTATCTTAGAAAGAAAATATTATGAACATCCGTGGTTGGCTTTAGTTGAATACTTCCTTTTTAAATAAATTGAGGCGTACCATGTCAAATAAAATCTCAAAACTCATGGCCCTCACTTAATTATTTTTAATCCTTTAGAAATCGAGGCGTGCCATTTAATTGAATTTTCCATGGACCTCGCAAACTCAAAAGTACGTAGTTGCTTTAGGCACGTAATTTAAATTAATTTCCTTAAACTCGGGTGTGAATTTATGTGACTCAAATCCAAATCTCAACAACGTTAGATAAAATGCATCGTGGACCGCGAGTGTATTTATGTGACGTGGTTCAAGACGTGTTTTAGATGACATTGAATCTTTCTAAAATTAATTAAAAGCGGTTAATAATTTAAAATTGAATCATAGGTTTAAACATGTATTAAAATCAGATAATAGGCCAATTATAATGGTTTAAGCGACCGTGCTAGAACCACGGAATCCGGGGGTGCCTAACACCTTCCCTCGGGTTAACATAATTCCTTATTCAGAATTTTTGGTTCGCAGACTTCAAAAGGAAAGTCAAATTTTCCTCGATTTGGGATTTAAAATAAAACCGGTGACTTGGGACACCAGAAAACAAACCATCCCAAGTGGCGACTCTTAATAAAATTGAATAAATAATCTCATTTCGAATAATGTCACTTAAATTGGAAAAACTCCCTTATATCTACCTTCGGGTGTGTAAAAAGGAAGTGTGACAGAAGGGGAAGCTCCAAAGGCACACGGCTAAATCTGACAGAGCCGGCATGTCTAGAGCCTATGTCGAAGCGTCGCATTTCGCCGTCCCATCTCCATACTTTACAATTAATGTATGTTGTACTATAACCGGGTTCCCCTCCTATATAAAGGGAACCTACACTACTTTGTAAGGGGCGGATGTTGCTCCAACTATTTTCCTCCACAAGATCAATAATATATCTCTGTCTCTCTTTCTTCTCTCTTACTTGCCCGTTCTTACTAGCTCGAGGCCACTCTAGCATTTATTATTTTCTCACTTGTTCTTCATTTATTGCTTCGTACTGGCCATAAAGAGTCTTGTTTAATCATATCTTAACTATTATCCCATTCCCGGCTACCCCGATAGCTTGAGACCGATCCCAGATATCGACCTCGAGGTCCTCCATCGACCATTCTGAAGCCAGGGCAGCAGGCTCCTCGATTTGATCATTGCCCCGTTTTAGCTTGTATTTTATCGTCAAACTTCATATTCTTAGCATCATTTGCTCTAACAACTAGCATAAAAATAGATCACGTATTTTTAGAATCCCATTTACAAATTTAATTATTATTACCATTTTCAAGGTAAACAGTTTGGCGCCCACCATGGGGCTAAAAATAATAGTGATTATTTTCTTACTGGTTTCGTTACAAAAACGTAAGTTATCTTTCACACTTTTTCTTGTCCAAGATCTCTTGATTTCAGGTCAAAATGTCTGGCTCGGTAAACAAAATCGAGAAAGACAATCTCAAAAACCACGGGGAAAACGACGTGGCTGCCCCGGCTGCCGGAACGCAACCGCAGAATCCCAATGACGCATCCGCGGACTCACAGGTCGACGAAACCTCACACACCGACAGAAGCATAAGGCATAGCGACTGATAGGAAGCCCAAAAAATCTCAGCCCGGGAAGAATAGGAAGTTAGCCTTCATGTTATTTTTGAAATGTTGCAAGCACAATAGTTGGCCATCACTCAGTTACAAAGTCATCCAAAGACTCCCAACACAGTGACGCCGGAAACAGCTCCCCCAACCGAACAAGTACCCGAGAGATCGAGCAATAACGGATCGGTAGCCGACCCCGCCATAATAAAAATGCTTGAGGACCTCACCAAAAGGATCGAGTCAGGGGAGAACATGATAGCGACCAATGATAAAAAGGTCGAGACCTACAACTCTAGGGTCGATCATTTCCCGGGTGCACCCCCGGTCCTCAAGGGCATCGATTAGAAGAAGTTTATACAAAGGTCGTTCCCCGAGGAAGCGGCCCCGAAGCCCATTCCAAAGAAGTTCAGGATGCCGGAACTCCCTAAGTACAACGGTACCACTGACCCTAATGAACACATTACTGCCTACACCTGCGCAGTAAAAGGCAACGATATAAAGGTAATGAGATCGAGTCTGTATTGCTAAAAAAAATCGGAGAAACACTCTTAAAGGGAGCTATGATGTGGTATCACAACTTGGCTCCTAATTCCATAGATTCATTCGCCATGCTAGCAGATTCCTTCGTAAAGGCGCATGCCGGAACCATCAAGGTAGCAACAAGGAAGTCTGACGTCTTCAAAATCAAGCAAAGAGAGAACGAGATGTTGCGGGAATTTGTGTCCTGCTTTCAGATGGAACGGATAGAGCTACCGCCAGCCTCCGACAACTGGGCAGTACAGGCCTTCACCTAAGGCCTGAACGAACGAAGCTCGGTGGCTTCAAAATAGCTGAAACAAAACCTGATCGAGTGTCCGGCCGTGACCTGGTCGGACGTCCACAACCGGTACCAATCGAAGATCAGAGCCGAGGATGACTAGTTGGGAGCCCCTTCGGGCTCAGTATACCTGAACAGGCTCTTAGAAAAGGAACCAAAGCCAAACAAAGAAAGGTATCAACCATACCTCGAGGATAGGAGGAACGCCCCGAGGCGCAACCTACCCAGCAACGATCGGAGGGTGGATCGAGGACAGGACCCTCGAGGGCTCATCAACAGAGCCAGGATCGATCGAAACGTAGTACCAATAGGTGCACCCCACCTATCAGAATACAACTTCAACGTCGAGGTGTTAGACATCGTGTTCGATATCAGTAAGATCAGAGACGCCAAATGGACCAAACCGATGCAGTCAGATCCTTCACAAAGGAATTACAACTTAGTATGCGAGTTTCACAACACGCACGGTCACAGGACCGACGATTGTCATCAACTGCGAGAGAAGGTAGCTTGGCTGCTTAACAAAGGACATCTCTGAGTGTTTCTTAGCAATCGAGCCAAAAATCAGTTCCGAGAAAGGGAGGCAACCAAGAAGAACGAGGCAAACGAGCCGCAACACGTCATCCACATGATCATGGGGGGCACTGATGCCCCGCAAGAACCCGTAATGAGAAGAACAAAAATATCCATCACCAAAGAAAAGTGGACTCGGGGATATATCCTCGAAGACGCCCTCACATTCAGCGAAGAAGACACCGAGACCCTGTCTCAACCCCATAACGACGCCCTGGTAATTTCCTTCTTTGTAAATTCTTTTCAAATAAAATGTGTACTCGTGGATCCAGGTAGCTCGACCAATATTGTCAGGTCGAGGGTAATAGAACAACTCGGGTTGCTCGACCAAATCGTGCCCACCACTCGGGTCCTCAACGGATTCAACATGGCAAGCGAAACAACGAAAGGAGAAATCATCCTCCCGGTCACCGTGGCGAACACGACTCAAGACACCAAATTCCATGTCATCGAGGGAGACATGAGGTATAACGTATTATTTGGGCGGCCATGGATACACTGCATGAGAGCAATTCCATCAACCCTTCACCAGATGATAAAATTCCCAACAAAGGACGGGATCAAAATCGTCTACGGGGAACGACATGCGGTAAGGAAATGTTCGCAATACATGACGTGGTACCAACGTTCCTGCCTCCGCCCCCAAATAAGCCAAAGGACGAATCGGGTCTCACTCTCGATCGAACTTGACAAAACAAAGCGGAAGTCTATGCCATATCTTCATCTCAGGCAATTACAACAAATCAATCCTGAGGCATCGCCAGCGCATCTCACTTCAAGGTACGACCATCTTCTTTTTTGTTTCGGATTCAGAACTAACCCTTGTGCAGGCACCCAGCCGGAGCTATCATAGCACTGGCACTACCTGAAGACCTAAAGGCTCTAAAAATGCACCCGTTGCACTCTTTTCCTTCGACTGAGTTTTTGTCCCAAAAGAAGGATGTTTTACCGGCAAGGTTTTTAACGAGGCAACGACTGCGAGCTGCCTAAGGAAAACTCCGCAAATACTCAAGTCTCCTCTTGTAGGCAACCTTTTGAGCAATGAGGGGTGTTCCCCCAGAAAGCTACAGCTCGAAAAAGGGAAGCAATGTACCAGGCCAAATGGTCGATAAAACCATGTCTGTATAGTCAGGCTCCCGTTGGCAAATACGTGTGCTATTGTACCAAGCAATCAAAGAATATATTTTGTCATAAACGCCTTCACAAAGAAATATTACAATTCTCTCGCCAAAAATGCCCCGAACACTCGGGACTGACGCCAGCAATTTGCCGCTCAGATGGCCTCCGGGTCGAAACTCCAAAATTACAAAGCCTTCGGGTAATACAACGTGGAAATTTCCCAGTGTCACCAACATCGGGGGTACCTTAAATATCTAGGGATTGTTTCCAATCACTACGCACTTGGAAATACGAGGCCATAAGAACCC